GGATCCCGGGAGCACGGGGCGCCCCGGAGCGTCCGGCCCGCTCCTCTCCGCAAAGTCCGTGCCGCGCGCAGGACGCCCCTCGGCTGCTAAGTTTTGCTCCGCCTTGCTTTGGAGCTAGGGTAGGGAGGAGAGGGTTCCAAAGGAGAGCAGGTTCCCTGTGTGGGTAGCAGAGCGGGAAGCGGGAGAACTCGGGGACAGGGTTCGCCGGGGTGGGCCGGCCGACACTTCCGAGGAGAACTCGGGCTTTGGAGGACGGGACTCGGTATCGTGCTGGTTAGCTGCAGGGCCCGCACCTGCTTGGACCTGATAACTCAGTCTCGCGCTGGGGCAGGCGCCTCAGGTGTGGTCCTCCGTGCGCTCGTCTGTCCTGCGGTGGGTAGTGTTACCTGCTAGCGGCCAAAGCTAGCTCCTTCAAGTTAGCTTTCAGCTCTTGGGGGAGCTGAGTAAGTCCCCCACCCCCTTGCTGGGTCTCTGCGTGTCGCGAATGATATTAAAAGTACCATTGCTCTGCCGGGCTTTGTCACAGTGTGACACGATGGGTGAAGGATAATCATCCGCAGAGAGCCAAGAACAGCGAGGTGGACGTAAGCTTACAACTGCTGTACTTTTCCGGTGTTGCTTTGTGTCCTTTGCATGGTTGGGAATTTATGCTGAAAGTTTTATTTACTTCGACATAAAGTAAGCTTTTGTTAATGGACACAAGTGCCAGGGCTACGAGTGTTACTACCCCGGCTTTCAGCTCGATAACACTTCGTGCATGACACACACAATATTTCTGTGGTAGGAAAACAACAACTACGACTGTTATTCACGCTTGCTGGGATAAGCAAGTAGCTCTAGCAGACCAGCCTTCTTGAATCCAGTATTAGGGCTGCCCACAGGTGCCTGAGAAACGAGCCCTCCTTCCCCCCGGGGGCTCCTAAGGGGAAAAGAGGGGATCGAAATGACAGATGTATTTTCTGAGTGGTGTAACTTCATCACAAGTACTGTTTTCTTTAAAGGGCACGTTCGAATAAACAGGCTTCCGAAATAGAACACCGCGAGCTGGCTGCGTTCACATAGGTGCCCTCATTGGAACAAGTTTCCATTGGAGAGCTCGGGTCCCTTACTAGTGAAATCCGGATACAGTTGGCTTGCAGGAGTAATCGAAACCAGCTGTTTTAGTCAAGGAACTTTGTCAGCTTTAACACAAACAGGTGGGAGGGGAACGGTTAAGACTTAACAAACCACAGGCCAGGAAGGGGGGGAAAAATGCAGCGTGTTAATAAATAGGAGAGGCACTTTTTTACTTTTTTAGAAAAGAGACTGTGCATCACATTAGAAACATTTTGATGCATATTTCCTTGAGCGAAAGTTTTCTAGGGGACAGGATTTTCTGACCTTGAATCAGAAGATCAGGACTTAAACTTGCTATCTAAGGATGTTAGAACTGTGGTAGAGCACTTAAAGTCATGTACAGTATCTTTAAATAAACTGTATTACTTAATATAGAAGATTAGATTCAGGAGGTGGGAAGGGACTATGAAGGAGGTTTTCTTCCTTAGACTTTAATCTTGTTAGGTGGCTTTAGAGGAGTCTTTAAATGTTTCTTTGTGCATGAGCATGAAACCTTAAACTAAGTTTCTTTGAGTACAAAGTAAGGGCATCATTTTGTTTCTGTCTCAAAAGGTTTTCCAGAACTGCCAGAGCATTGGATCAATTAATGACTCACCTGTTCTTAATGAAAGCACTAAGCTGATTTTTCACACAAATCATGCTTGACACATAATGGGAATAAAAAGTTTGAAAGTTAAAGGCTAGGAGAATGTAAAGGAAATTCTAGCTCTGTTTCCAATGATGTGTTACTTTTACAGCTAAAAACTCCCATGTTACCTTTTGACATTTTGCAACATTAGCTGGAGGTTGCATTGATTTCTAGAGTCTCCTTATAAGGAGGTAACCCTTCACTGGTAACCCTCTCAAACTCTGACTGAATCTCAAATAGTGCAGGTACTCGTCTAGCTGTCAGGGCCTTCCCTTTGGTTCAGGAATTTGAAGGCTTTACTTTTTGTAGCTAAATACAAATCAGATTTCTAAATCCACTTTAAGAAATGTTGTACACTTCGGATATTAATCAAATATTCTTACTGTGTAAGTTTGAGTTGCAGTATGCCATGGGATCTTTATAGTCGTGGGCTTTTAAATTTGGTCTCCCAAAATTAAAAAAAAAAAAAAATACAAAAGCTGCTGCCAAATCACCTCTCTAGAACTTTGATTTTTGGAGCTGATGGCTTTTAGGTGAGAAGGTCTGGATTTGGAGGTATGCGGACTATCGCCTACTCTTTGTGCATTTCCTGTGACATGACCCTCTACCCCATGTCTTGAAACTCAATAAATAAAGATTATTTTCTCTTTTCTTATCCTTTCACTTTGTTCTTTCCCCATATACATAGTTTTGAGTTCTTACCACATCTGCAATTGTTTCTCTTTCACAAAGACAGATTCTCCTGCTCTACCCTAGTTGCTTTACTTTATAATAATCTACATTGTTTCTCCTAGTGTAACAGTGGCGTTGAGATGTAATTTACATACTCTGCAATTCAGTTATTTAAGAGTAAAACTCTTTTAGTGTATTGGCGAGTTTTGCAGCCATCACCACTAATTCCACAAAAGCAGAAATGAAAAGAAAAAAATACAAACTCCTGTACTTGTTGGCAGTTATTCCTCTAACCCCCAGTTCTAGTCAAAGCTTATTTACTGTGCACCTCTATATATTTGTCACTTCTTTTCATTTTATATTACTTTTTACTGACAAATCTCCCATTGCATTTTATTTATTCATCAGTTGTCTGGTATGTGCATGACACTAGGTTCAATCCTCAAAACTGCAAAAACAAAACCTGTTCATCAATTAATTGATGGGCAGTTAGGCTGCTTCCACTGTTTGGTTTTCATGAATGATGCTGCCATGAACATTCATGTAGAGCTTTTGCGTGGCCGTTCTTCTTGGGTATATTCCATGGAGTAAAATTTCTGGGTTTTATGGTAACTCTGCAGTTTAACCTTTTGAAGAATTGTCAGAGAGTTTTTTTGTTGTTGTTGTTGTTTTGTTTTTTTGTTTTTTTCTAAAAATGCTAAGCCATTTCACACCCTACCAGCAGTGCATTCCAGTTTCTTCACATTCTCACCAATGTGTGTTATTATCTGTCTTTTTTATTTTGCCATCCAAGTGGATGAGACGTAATATCTTCATAGTGGTGTTTATTTGTATTTCCCTGAAGGGTGATATTCACTTGCTAACACACTCTTAATTCATTCTCTGCTTTTCCTTTTGATCCCCTTTCCCTTTATGCCAATACTACATTGGCCAATGGCTTTCAACTCGTATGTGTATTAGGGACTACAGAGAGGAACATTTGCCTCTCTCTGGGGAAGAAAGAATCGACCAGAAGTTTACATATCCTCTTGAAAGGGATATGCATCTTCAGTGCAAGAATGATCAGGAGATGTGAGCAAAAAAGCTGTCTGGGAATGCAGCCTCCACCTGCGGGGAGCCCCAGAACTGAATATTTGGGTACCGTTTAGGGGTAGCGAGACCCCAGCTATCTCCTGGGAGCCGTCTCTTGATGCCTGCCTGGGAGCCTTCTTTCAGTGTACTCGAGGAAAGCAATGATATCAGAAATTTCTGGAAGCACTTTAGAGGAGTGGTTAACCAGGAACACAGCCTGGAGAACCAGCTCCTTGGCTTTGTGTCCTGGCTCTGGTGCTTTCTCACTGTGTATCTTTGAGCAAGCATTCCACCTCTTAAAGCTGGAGTTTCCTCTTTTGTGATGTGGGGGTAGTAGTGTCCAGCTCGGTTGCTCGCTCTGTGAATTAAAAGGGTTAATGCCTAGACAGCATCCACGTTTGTAGCTGGCACCCAGCGGCCAATGTTAACCCTTACAAGCAGCGAAGTCTGTGATACACAGTGACATAGAGAAGCCACAGGCTGGCCCATTACTACTCAGAGGCTTAGGGAGGCCCTGGGAGCCTTGCGTGATTCCTTATTTACCCTGTCATGTTTCAGAGACCTGAGCAGCTACGCCCGTTTCTGTTAGGGCCTCAGTGACTGCAGAGGGTGTTTCAGTTCCCTCTCCTGATGGGTGAGCATCTTAGGGTTCTCCTGTGGCATTTGTGCTTTCTCTTGGCTGAAATGCAAAGGCAGTATGATCTGCATGGTAAATCTCCATGTGTTGGCTCTCTGTGTCTGAGTTTCAGGGTGGAGAAAGTGATAACATTTTCTTTTTTCCCCCTTGAAAGAGTGTGAGTGCTATCTTTTTGTCAGTTACCAGTGCCTGGTTAAGAGAGAATTAAACCTCTAGCTGTCTAGGAAGCACTTTTGAGAGACTGGATTCCTAAGAGTGCTGTGGAGACGGAGGCGGGGAGAGAAAGGATGGTGGAAGAAATGCCTTTGGGGACAAGCTCAGCCCTTGGAAGGGGCCCAGGGTGGAGCCCAGCCATGGATTCTAGACTTTTCCAAGGTTGGATGCGACCAAAGGGGATGCCCTGACTACCACTCCGTGTGCCCTCTCAGCCTGAAAGGCTTCTGTGCAGACCGGAAGTGGACAGTGATTTCGTGATAATGGGTATGGGACAGGGGTGATCGGAAGTGGGCTCCTGGTGAGGTGTGCAGGCACGTGCATTGCTGGCCCGAGGTCAGCGTCCGTGCAGTGGACAGGCTGGACTTGATGTCTGGTCTTTCCTTTCCCACACCTACTTTTTATTCACCATTCGGCTCTGAATCAATCACTTTTTCTATTGTTTGTTCCCATCTCCCCCCGGCCTGTTTTTCTCCTTTATAGAATGTGAACTTGGGACAAAATGATCTTTAAGCAGAGTCTGAACTCTTACCATGCATTTTGTATGTAGTAAGAAAAAAACCAGGATACATCTGTAAGATTCAAATTTTCTGGCTTCTGT